GAACCTGCGGCAATGTGATGCAGCACGTCAGATGGGATCCTTGCCAATCACAAAATAGAGCACTGGTGTGATTGGTGGGAATGAAGCAACACGTATGGAACAGCTGCTCCCTCGTCTTTCAACGTCGTTTGGCATTATGACCTGCAACGTGTACATATATATTATATAGGGCATCCGCATGATACGCTGAAAGCTTGGATGGCGATTTGTTTCTGTGGCCATTTGTTTGGCACCTACCAGCAGTGATGGGGCTGAATTCATGTCATTGGTGCATGGTGCATTTTAGATCTGGTAAAGGATCAACATCCACACATTGCAGACAGCCCATTCAAATGTTTCATCATCACTAGATCACAAGCCCATGAAACACGTGGCATCATGCTGTATAAGACACTCTCAGGCGCTTCTGCATTGGACCAGGAAACATGTTGGAAGCAGGGCATCCGCAACTTCCCATGAACTCTCCATGAACTTTGTCTGAAGTTTCTATGAACTTTCCAGGAACTTTCCAGGAACTTTCCAGGAGCTTTCCAGGAACTTTCCAGGAACTTTCCAGGAAGTGTCCATGAACTTTCCAGGAACTTTCCATGAACTTTCCATGAAGTTTCCAGAAAGTGTCAGTGAACTTTCCAGGAACTTTTCAGGAAGTTTCCGGGAACCTTCCATGAACTTTCAATGAAGTTTTCAGGAACGTTCCAGGAACTTTCCAGGAAGTTTCCAGGAAATGTCATTGTGTTTTCTTTGCATGTTCCATGCATTTTCTTTGTATTTTCTCTGCAGTTCCTACGCGCTTATTACGCATTTCGTATGCACTTTAGATTTCTATGCATGTCATATGCAATTATCATGCACTTTTGACTGTCTTCCATGCACTTTCTTTGCATAAACATGCATAAGAAATGCACCAAACAATCATGAATAATCATAGAACATTCATAGACCATGCATAGAAAATGTATGGACAATGCATAGAGCTGTCGTAGAAAATGCATAGAACATTCATAGAATATGCATAGACAATTCATGGAAGATTCATGGACAGTTGCTGTCAAATTCATGGACAGTTCCTACATGGAAACTCCATGGAAGGTCTGGCAAAGTCATGGACAGTTTATGGAAACTTCCCTGAAAGTTCGGGGACAGTTCCTGAAAAGTTCCTGGAAAGTTCACGAACACTTTCTGGAAACTTCATGGACACTTCAATCCAAGTTCCAAGGAAAGTTCGTTGAAAGTTCCTGGAAACTTCCTGGAAAGTTACTGGAAAGTTCATGGAACCCTTATGGAAACTTCATGGACACTTCCTGGAAATGTCGTGGAAAGTTCAGACTGAACACGTCAGGACTACATGAGACATATGTAGACATTCAACCAACACTCATCTTACTTGTTAGCTTTTGTTACAGACTAGACTGGGACTGTCTTTTATGTTTGAAATCCAAAAACAATAAGGTGTCAGTATGAGCTACATGAAGTTATGGAACAAACATCAGTAAACTTTTGATTTTACTATGTTTGCCACGGCGACAAAGTCTGGATGCCGGTTCCCTACGTTGACGGGGTGTGCTACGCAAATCTTTATTTGCCTTCAGTTTTGCGCTGATGCGAATAGTTTTTTGGGACTAGTGGGCCACATATTTTCATGTTGCTGAGCCAAACTACGTGCGGAAAAAAAGAAAGACACATGAGAGCTAGAAAGTTGCGCTTTGCTACATTTAGTAACTACATAACAATTTACGCATTTGTTTAGGTAGTTAGTAAATGAATGTACGTAAATGTTGAGTAAGCAAATCCTACCTAAATATTTACGTAAAACCAACATTGTCGTAAATTCTGGCCTTGCTAAAACTAGTAAATCTGCAGACTTAGGGTAAGCCCCCTCCCTTGTCTGCTCTCCCCGGGCTGCCTAGTTATGCCGTATTTTGCCAGGCCGACGTGTGTTCACGCCGGCCGGCCATAGGGACGTGGTGACGCGCGTGTGAAACGAATTGTGACGCAGTGACACGCAGTGATACGCCTGGACACGCAGTGCGCAGTATTGCGCAGTGACATCCAGGTGACACGCAGTGACATGGTAAAAGTACAACATGCTCGCGGAAGGTGCCCTTCGCACTGCGGAAGCTTTGCGGAAGGTTTCGCGAAAGGGGCCCATATGTCCATTCAAATTCAAGTCGGAGTAAAATAAACCACTCATTTGAGAATTGCAAACGGCGCATCCTTGACTTGCTTCCCGTAGCCGGCTTCGCTGAGGTTTGCAAGACAAAATTTCAAGCCGCTTGGCTTCACTGGCCTCATCAGCCGGACATGCTTGATCCGTGATCAGCTCACGTCTGCCGCGCACGAGATTTTGCAAACAAGAAAGAAAGCCAGATCACCCAAATCAGACATGGCAAGGATGAATAGCTGTTGAACATGCGACATGTGACTGATGGTCGTGCGGGTGGCCCAACACTGCGCACCAAGGGCGATCAATCGATCCTGTAACATGCTTGCTGACCATGAGGATTGCTCACTGTAGCAAGTCTGCACCATCACGCAAGATGGACGGAAAATAACTAGCAGCCATCCAATTGAAGAAGTGTAGCTATGTATCTAAATGTCTAGTAACATATTGCTTTCGTTCTTGGTTTTCGTGCACCTCCTCGGGCAAAAACACTAGTGTTGTGGAGAGCATTTGGTCTAGGACTCTGACGGTGTTTGTCGCCAACTCTTCCAGATGTCTTTGAGGTATAGCTTGGAGTCCCGTTGACAGTTTCATCGCATTCTCCTCCTCATGGGGCATGGCAGTGCAGCTCTTCGATGCCAATAAAGGCGGGGGGGACATGCATGGGCTCAGATTTCAGTCTCAAATTTCAACCTCCGGTTGCGGTTGGAAGACGCGTTGTATTCATAAACCTTTTGGCAGTCGTCACTGGTTGCCTACACAAATGCAGGACAGACTTGAACGTTGCCAACAATCAAGACCAAGCAACTATGCGAAAGGTGCATGCGTTTATGTTTGTTTAGTTCTAGGTTTCGAACTCTGGTAGACATCCTTTCGGGCTCTGGGCTTTCAACATGTAGAGCTGTCCAACAACATTGTTTACGTCATGGCAATGCCCCGTCATCACATGGATGCTTGCGTTCACAATTGAAAAACATGCGCGAGTCACATATCGGCTGCCGAGTTCCTAGTCCCTGTTTGCGACTCTCAGCATGTTACCTTGCCACAAGCGGTTGATGGCACGCCCGAGGCACCGGCCACACCGCAGCCCTTGTTCCACCGGTGCAAGCTGATTCCCTGTTCGGCTTGGCACTTGTCCCATGAAATGCTACAGTAGCTCATGGAGAGTTGCTTTGCACAAAGGGCATGTTTCTAGAAGATAGCACCCTTTATGGTGAATAAAAGATGCAGGCACTTGCAACATGCAACGGCATCCAGCATTCATCAAGACATGTTGTCAACATGACTGCTCAAAGGGGATAACACAATTAAGTCCTCATGCAGGGAAGAGGAAGCAACATTTAGATAGTGTAGGCACTGCAGTGCAGGCGAACTTGTATGGAAGACTGCGGACTACTGCCCCTTCCACGCCTTGTCATGGAACTACAACGGCATAAAGGTGGCTGGAGCGTGCCTCGCAAAGAGTTCGCGATTGCTCAGGATTGCAAGCGGATCGGCAGGTACCTAGTTGTTTTGGCTTTGCTTGGCTAATATCTACAATGCTTGGGAAGACATCATTAATTTGCTGCCAATCAAAGAAATCTGTGCGTTTGTTTGGGCGCGTTTTTGTCTCTGCATATGCGTATGGTTGATCGCTGGTGTTTTGGCCCACCCCCTGGCCCCATCAGTCCATCTAGCGGTGCTGTTAGTTCCTGTGATTCCGCATTTGGAATAATCTTGCCTTCTCTAGTATAATCAGTTCTAGACAGGACCTTTGCTGGAGGCTCTTGATTGCGCACACCCTGATTGAACTCATAGTCATTATTTCACTTGCATTCACCAAATCAAAGAGGCACGTTCCACAGACTTGATACGTCCCCACGACTGTTTGGTTTTCTCCAAGATCGAAGCTTCAGTGGTGCAGCTGATCATTAGATGAGTTGTCAAGGGTCATAGGCTGGCCTTGTTTTGCGTCTGCCACTGAGTGGAACACGACCAACGTGATTTGCGGTGGCTGAGGTGCCAGGATGGGCATGTCTACGTCTTTGATGGCGAGACAGGTGGAAACCGGACAAACATCGATCTGTATATCAGAGCCTGTGGTGGTCGACTAGAGCTCTTTGCATCATACAATATTTGGCAGCAATGAAGAGTTGATTGGGAGTGTAATATTAGCGTAAATAAGTTTATCGAACAATTAACTTAATGCTTTTGTATGCTGGTGATTGACTGTATTCGACTCTTGTGTACAAATGCGAAGCATGCTCTTGTGTGCCGCACGTACAGGAAGGCCGGTGCCCCACTGGTGCTCGCTTGTGCGGCGATTGTTCTCATTCGAGAGCTTCGTGCCACTGTTCGCTCCATGCTGTTCTGTGAATTTCTGTGAAGTCAGACAGAAGGGCCTATTGCGATGGAATGGCACCGAAAGAACCATGCCTTGCCCAGAGGAAATTCTTCGAACACACAAGTACTGCGTTCAAGTTTCAACACTAGCACCCCCAGATGTAATTGTGTTTTCTTGGGATTGCTCACACCGCAAACCTACTATTTCAAGGAGTTGTGGCACAGCATTTTTGAAGCTTTGCATGCGTTTTTTTTGTTTTTCGCTTCTTGTAGAAGCCAGTGACCAACCATTCGCGCATGTTTTACATCTGGACCTCGGTTCTTTGGAGTTTTTTCCAGCCACAGCGTCCCTGAGCGCCCCTGAGCCCCTGAGCGCCCCTTTTGGGGCCGATGGAGGAGTCGCTTCGCCAGGTGAGCTGCATCGAAGCCTGGAGCTTGGAAAGGCGGTGACCTCTCTGAGCTGGTCCGTGGCGTAGGCGCGCGGCCACGCGCGCCACCCAGGCCAGCCAGCGCCCACAGGGGCTGAAGTATTCCTTATATAATTGGCCGTTTGCCCAGGCACCACCTGCAAAACCAAGGTGTACGCCTCGTACAGGGCAGTTTGCTGTCATGCATTTCCTTTTCACAGGCTACTCAGGGTCTCCTGTCCTTGCCTGGACCGTCATTCAGCATGCGCCACTCTGTGTTGAACACAAATCATCTTGATAACACATATAGCCACTTTGAATACTCTGCATTCATCGTTCCCAATTCTCAGATATAACTGGTTGCAGGTGAGCAGCTGACCCGCATTGGGAAACTGCGGCCAATTGCTAGCAAGCAAAAAGGTCAGTTGCGTACAAAAAGAGCCAGGTGCAATTGACGGTCTTGGCCATTTATCCTGCCCGCATGGGCTTGGTAAAGTTTTTTTTCGCGGCATCCACAGTTGTTTGGGACTGGATGTCACCGATCCGAGGAGTATCTCCACAGCCCCTTGCAAATCAGAACTTGGTGACAACCTTTTGGCCAGAGCCTGGTTGCGAAGCTTTCAAGCGGATGGTGCATGCCCAGTGCATGCTGTTGACTATGATTGGTATACAGTACTTGCATGTGGTTGGCTTTGGTTCGAAATTCCGGATTTTGTGTTGTTGTGATCTGTTTGTTCTAATTGTGTGCAAATGTTCGAACTTGACTATTATGCAAATTTGACCTTGCCAGGCGTCATCGAGTTTTGGAGTTCGGGTGTTGACATTGTTGACCAGATTGCGACTTAGTTGAGCCCATTCTTTGTCACTCATACCTGGGTTGGCCTTGGCCACAACCTGGTCATTGCTGGTTCAGCATTCCAGCATGCACCGGTATTTTAGTCAGCATGACGACTTGAAGCGTTAAGGCCAAACTTTCTCACCCGATTCACAGATCACAAGGGGACATTGTGTTCGTCGGGCTAGCGCTTTTTTGCGTGTTGTTTCTGTTCTCTGCGCATCGTGTTGGCTAATGTGGGTACCTTGGGTACCTGATTAATATAGAGCCCCCACCCAACAACAAGAGAATCAGAAAAGCAAACAAGCAATCGAGAAAACCAGCAAAGCACTGAGGGGGTCAAATCGGTCTTTCCCAAGTTAATACTGGCTTAGTATTGGTTAGTGCTGGTTTGGTATTGGTTTAGTATTGCTTTGTGCTGCTTTTGCACTGGGTTCGGATTGGTTAGCATTGGTTTAGTATTGCTTCGTGCTGCCTTCTTTCTGGCTTAATAGTGGTTTGTATTTGTTTAGTATTGGCTTAGTATTGCTTCCGTTGTCTTCGGTCTTCTGGTTTTGAATTTGTTTGAGTATTCCTTCGGGCTTGCCCAGTTCTGATTAGAATTGCTTTATAAGTATTGGTTTAGTAGTTGTTTTTTTTTCCTGGAAACCGTTTGCAAAATTGGGTACCCCTTTTCATTTCTAATATTGGTTATTTGGGGCGGCCATGTATTTCCCCCTTTCGAAATTTGTGGGCTGAGCACTTTGTTAGTTTGGGGGATGGATGTGGTTGCAGAATTTGTTTGGCTACTCAGCAGAATTCTGGACAAGGAGAGAGAAAGGGGAACTACTTTCTGGCGGGGCCGGGGGACGATTACACGTTCAATTATTTCTATTATTGAGTATTTGGGGTGGTCCCGTACTGTCCCCTGGATAATTGTCAGCTAAACTATGTTACATAATGGATATAAATAACAAAATCGGCAGTTTGGGGGATGGATGTTGTTTCCTTTGATGAACCGGGTGCCGCATTACATTTGAAGCTTTCACAATGTGTAATTGCAAGTGCAAGCTGCCCAACACCAAGCAGTTTTGGCTGTCGCACGTCAAGCATTTTGATCAGGACAGAGGCGATCTGATTGCAAGGCATGGCAACAAAAGGAGTGGCTCACTCGCGTGCTGCTATTATAGTGAGCCCCGCAAAGGGTCTTCAGACCCCGTGCGATACGACGTGGGGTATCTCGCGACTTTGCGAGATCTCACCAGTCGGACGGGGGAACAGGGTCCTCGCGCACAGGCGCCCTGGTGAAAGGCTAGGGTAGCCCACGCGGTCTGCGCATTGACGCAGTTGCGAGTGGATTTGATGTTTCGGACAGTTTTTTGAGTGTGCACGATGCACAGACTTCCGTGGAGCAAGCGTATTGTGTTTGTTGTTCTGTTAGCTGTGTGAGTGTGTCAAGCTGTGCATTGGCAAGGAGTTTTGGCGGATTTGCTTGGGCTCTCGCAAAGAGTTTGCCCAGGAGAGCGGCCCCCAGATATTGCTGGTCCAAGCTTACGCGTGTTGCCAGTGAACGGGGATGGCTTTGATTTCCGGGTCTGGGCTTTCTGGGGACCGCGGGGTGTTTGGGGCTCCTGGGACAGACATCTCGGAGCTGCTCCCCAGTCCAGGGTTTCCCGGATCCGCGAAAAGCCGGCGTCATGATGCCAAACAAGATAAGGCGAGGAGAAACGTGAAAGCGCGAATGCAAGCGTTTCAACTCAGGAATGCGACGCCCCGGTGATTCGCTTTCGGCCACCACTCAGCTATGTCGGCCAGTTTTGTTGGAGTTGACAATCAACAGTTCTGCATGCAGTGGGGCTTCAACATCCTTGCGGGAGCTTTTGCAGGACTGGCGCGCCTTGCATTTTGCCCAACATCACGATCGGGCAGCCGGGGCCTTGAGAAAATGCTTTCGGCATGAGATATATTCTTCATTGACAGCACAAAGCCTGGCACCTGCAAGTTGCACGGAAAGTCGCTGAAAGTTCCGCCAATAGTAAGAAACCTTCCTGCAACCCCCAACCGCAGCACTTCTGTCAACCCAAGCTTCTGGTGATTTTGCGGGGTCCTTTGACCCAATACTGAAGCAACACTCAACCAACGCCAAACAATCATTCGACCAACACTCGACCAATGGTACATCGATGAGACAAGTCAGAAGCCTGATGACTGATGTCAAACGCCCTGAAATTGACCCGGACAGTGCAATTTTGAGCGATGTTTCGGCCCAGCAAAGGGGCGCCAGTAAGACGAGGACCGCTCCAGAAATTGCCAACCAGTGGACCGAACTGGGCTCCCCTCGTCACAAGAAATGTGAGGGCTGCGGAGGCTTTATTCAGAACAAGCGACCCTGGTAGTGCGCTTTTTGTGCGTTTTGAGGTTTCCAGTCTTCCCACAGGTCAGCCATGTCAGTTGCACTTGATCCAACAAAACTACAGAGGAAACATCTTGAAAGACAGACACAACAAAACAACTTGAGGAAAACCAACAAACAAACCACCTCGAGAAAACCCGCCAAAAACAAGAAGAGACATTATTTAGAAGCTCTTTGGTACACAACCCATGTGGAAACATGTGATTGTGTTTCTCGATTTTTCCGTGTTTTTTTGTTTTCATTTTTAAATTGGTTTTTCTGCGTCTATGATGGGTCTACTTGGACACGTGCCAAGACAGAGTCTTCCCAGTTTGAAATTCCTGCTGCCTGCTTAATTGCTTAACTATCCCTATAGATCCAATTAGCGGCTTATACATGATGTGCCAAGCATGGTGCTTGTTCCAAAACGCACAACGATGACACATTGAAAAGGTAACAGTTTCGTTCCTTAACCATGCATCTGGAGCTGTCACTGTAGACATTTTGACCACAAGCAGTTGCGCATAAAAGGGGTGACTGCTCCACTTGATGGACTTGTGACAATTGATGGCATGCTCTGCTCCTTCTCTGGCGTGTTCTTGCGCTGCACTGTCTTCTTGCTCGACATTGTCTGCTTGGCCTGTTTGCTCTTTCGCTTCTTTGCCGCGGGCTCTTGCTGCTGTTTGCTCTTTGCTCTTCTCATTTTAATTTCACGCCTTGCAATTAAAAACTTGCAAACCAATTGAAACGGAACTGGCATGTTGCATTGGTTTTTAGTGGTAGCTCACTCCTTTTAAGGCGCTTGGCAATGAGAAGAAACACCAAGCTTGTTTTTCCTTGTTGAGTGATTCGAGCTCGGAGTTATGAACACTGTTCTGCGAGGCAAGCATACAACTGGCTCAAGGTATCAAACCTCAAAATCACAAACGTGCTCCCCCGGTCTCTTATTATTAAGGGGATTAGGGGGTGGGACATTTGATGTTTCATGTTCCATACGTTTTGGCATCGTTTGGCGGTTAGAGTTCAACTCGTAAAATCTTCGAGTCAGCTGCCATGCTTATTTGAGAAAGGGAGCTTGAATCTCCTAGCTCATGCTTTGGATGACATCTGCCAGAGGTACAGCAAGCAACTCTCAATACAATCTGGGTCAATGGTGTACCAGTGAGCGAGTACTCCACGCCCATATCCATAATTTTGGGGATCCTGCCCGAGAAAGGCCATATGGTAGGCAACACGCGTAATAGGAAGTCAAGTAGCACTATGTAAATTTGAGCATGAGGATGGCACCATACCAGTAGTTTCACATCCCTTGTTGCATCCCGGATTGGACGCGCCATGTTCCAATCCTTGTAATGCAGCAGTTAAATTGACCCGGATGTCAAAAGGGATGTGGGCAAGTTTCGGGAACCCAATGCAATGCTCCTGAGAGGGTCCTTGCCCGAGATTCTGATGGCAGCCGTGGCGGGCAGCTGGCAGGCACTAAGCTCCTTGGCCCCAGCGAGTCGCAGTGCTAATTCTGACCCCGGCGTGAGATGCTTTGAAGTGGCGCGGTGATTTGGCCTTGTGGCTTCGTGATTTTGCCGAACATTCTTGAAATAGCAAGATTTCTTGTCTTGTCTGTTGCAGTTCAGTCAGCGCAAAACAGCCTCAGCACCCTCGGTGAGCCGCGCAGACATCATTGTGTTGGTGCAACTGGGCCAATGTGCTCACCTTGGGCTTTCTTCACAGTTCAAACAAGGTGGTTTTCGTCCCATTTGCCATGATGCTGACTCAGCAAATCATGTACATATTGTCATTCAGCAGATCCGATGTGCAGCTCAGCATGCCAACACAACCTGATGTAGCACCATGCAGTTTCCACGGGGTAAGAGAAGGGACACCGTTGACGGATGCGTTTGACGCGTTTGTTGTGTTTGGCGGACAGGGTGAGAATGTATGAACATCTCTGTGGAATCAATGCACGCGATTGCGCCATTGGGCCCGCAATCTCTTCGGTCCAAAATGTCCAAATGCCGTGTTAGCTATGAACCTTTCAGTTGGCCGGAAGCTATGACCAGCGCATGGGCAGTTCATGTTTT